TGCTGGGCTCAGGCGATCCTTCCACCTCAGCCTTCCAAGTAGCTGGAATTACAGGTGTGCGCCACCACACCTGGCCAGTTTTTTGATGTATTGGAGAGACAATGTCTCGCCAGGTTGCCCAGGCTGGTCTCGAACCCCTTGGCTCAGGCAGTCTTCTCACCTCTGCCTCCCAAACTGCTAGGATTACAGGTGTGAGCCACTGTACCTAGCTATCGTGTAATCGAGCTCTATCAAAACTAATCAGCTGCTGGAAGAACTTGGTGGTGCTTTGTTCTTGTGGAACAGTGCACCACTGCCCTTTGTCAAACCTGTTCCCTGCTGCCTTGGTTTCTGATCAGAACTTCAAAAGAAGAGCTGAAAGGAACAAGGAGGCAAGCCAGGGAGGAGAGCTCTGCCAGTGGGAGGGCAAAGGAGGGCCACCTCAGGCACTGTCCTTGACTCCCCAGGACCCCAAGACCCGAGGGAGGTGCCCGGGCAGAGCACAGAGTGGGGTGTGCTTAGCCCGGACCCCAGCCTGGTCTCCTTGGAGGAGCCGCAAATCTTAACAGCCAGGACTCTGACCATTAGGCCCTTCGGTCGAGAAACAGATTGGCAGAGAAAGTAACTGAGGGCGGTTCCTCTTCCTTCCCCATCCCCACCCCATGCGAGGACACTCCGACACTTAGACACCTCATTGAGCACATCCACACTTGCTGTGTGATTTAGAGCAAGTGTTTCCACATAGCAAATGTGGGCTTTCTACATTTTCTTAGAGACAAGGTCTCAGTCTGTCGCCCAGGCGGGAGTGCGGTGGCATGATCACAGCTCACTGCAGCCTCAAACTCCTGAGCTAAGGAGATCCTCCCACCTCAGCCTCCTGAGTAGCTGGGACTACAGGTGTGCACCACCATGTCTGGCTGATTTTTTTACATTTTTTGTAGAGACAGGGTCTTGCTGTATTGCCAAGGCTGGTCTCAAACTTCTGGGCTCAAGCAGTCCTCCTGCCTTGACCTCCGAAGGTGACGAGATTACAGGCATGAGTCACCACACCCAGCACAAATAAGAACTTTTTTTTTTGAGTCACCCAGGCTAGAGTGCAGTAACATAATCATGGCTCACCGCAGCCTCGGCCTCCCAGGCTCAGACAATCCTCCTACCTCAGCCTCCCAAGTAGCTGAAACTGCAGGCATGTGACACCACACCTGGCTAATTTGTTAATTTTTTGTAGAGATGAGGTCTCACCATGTTGCTGAGGCTGGTCTTGAGCTCCTGGGCTCAAGCAGTTCTCTTGCCTCTGCCTCCCAAAGTTCTGGGATTACAGGCATGAGCCACCATGGCAGGGCAGCAGCAGAATGAGGGCCTTTGAAATGAGCACCAAGAGTCCTCAGTCTTTTTCTTGCTGATTGTGTGACTTCTGGCTGCCTTCGTCTGTGGCCACTTGGTGTTGGGTAACTGTTTCGTTGCAGCCAGTAGGGTTCCCCTTTGCTCTGCACTGAGAGGGACAGCCAAAGGCTCCCAACAGAAATGGGAAGTACCAGCACCCGCGAGGGGGTGAGGGCACAGAGGGTCATCTGAAGAGCCGTGTGGTTTGGCGCGCCCTCTTTTTGCTGGAGGGCTGGAGCAGCATGGGCAGCTGTGCTCAGGCACAGCTCAGCCCCCACCCTCAGGCCTCCTTCCACCCACCCAGGAGGAGGCAGGGCAGTGTGAGGCTCATCCCAGAAGCCAGTTCTCCAGTAGTTCACTCAGTACATGGCGGCCGGGCCCCGCCAAGTACCCCTTCTAAGCCTCAGCAGCCATCCCTGCCTTCCTCGCAGGACCTGGGCTGTGGGGGGCCAGGGACCCACAGTGAGTCAGCCGACCAATGAGAGGGGTGCCGTGTCCCCAGCCCGCACAGCACACAGCTCCCACGAGGAGGGCCTGGAGAGCACAGCCCACACAAAAGGAGAAGCTGGGAACAGGCTGGCTGTGACCCAGAGACTGAAAGCCGGCCAGTGGCGGGCAGGCCCAGAGCCCTGGCAAGCGGATGCCCCGGGGCAGGCTGGGCCCACGTGGCTTTCCTCCTCCCTGGCCGCCTTGCCCAACCCTCACCCACATGCCCAGCTTCCTTCCTGGGGGCATCCTGACGCCGGCGCGGAGTTGCCACAGGGGCCCAGAGCCACTTCCTCCCTCCTCAGGACACCCCCCCACCAGAAAGGGAGTGGAGGTGCCCACTGTTCCAATCCAGACAGCGCTGGCCTTGGAGCCCTGCTGGGAGAGGCCTTGGCCTGGAACAACGCCTTCCCCCGCTTGACAGGACCAAGGCAGGGCTGGAGAGCAACTCTTCCCCTGATGTGGGGGGTGAGGGAGAGAGACTAGAACTAGCTGCTCGCCTCCCTGGGCCTCAGTTTCCCCACCTGGACCTTGAGGCCCATGGGCTCAGTAGGCGCTCAGGACCCATTCAGATGACAGGCCTGGGTGAGGGGTGGCCTGGCAGCCCAGCCCCTCCCTTTCATCACAGCATCTCTGGGCCGACTTCCCCCTTGGACCGATAAGATTCCTGCTGTGTCATGATGACGTTGGCACTCCCCCAAAGCCTGGGTGACTCACGAGCCCCAGGGTGGAGGAGGACAGCCCTTTGGCTGGATTTACAGCTGAGCTTACCTCAGCAGCCCCCCAGTTCTCTCCCCAGTGGCCAGGAACCGGCAGCACCCAGCCCAGGCCAGGGCTCCGCCCAGGAAGCCAGGCAGATCCTTGACCCCAGTGACCCTTGGGAGCCAGAGGGCCCACCCCGCTGGGCCCCCAGTATGCCACGCCCTCCACCCTCAAACCCTCACACCAAGACAAGGAAGCTGCAGCGATCCGGGTGCATAAAGCGGGAGACCGAGGCCAAACCTCGGCGCCCACAGGCACGTCGTGGCCCGGGTCCCCCTGCCCTGGCCTGACCAGATGTTGGTGGACCTGAGTCACATCCTGCTTCTCCTGCCAAGTCACCACGCATCCTTGAGTGGATCCCGACCCCGCCGTGGGCCTCAGCCAGAAGGAGGGGGTGGGAGAGATGAGAGGAACTCCTTCTCCCAAGGACCCCTTCGGTTGCCCCACCTGCACGCATGTGGTAAGGCCTTCTCGGCCAAGCCCGAAGGTTCCCTAATGTCTTCCCATGCTTGTTCCTCCCGAGGCAGCCAGCAGAAAGGGCAGCCCCCCCAGCCCAGATGAAAGCGGCTCAGCTCGGCTCAGCTTAGTCCCCCTCATGGCGGGGAGTGGCCTTCCCCCACCCCCCACTGCCCTCCATCCTACCTCGCCTCCCTTGGGTGTCTCAGAAACCAGCAGACTGTCGAGTGCAGGGGCCGAGCTGAAACAAGGTGAGCAGGTTCGATCACTAGTTAATCCCAAAGGGAGCAGCAAGACAAACAGCCTGGGGTGTGGGGCAACTGTGACTCAGCAGAGCAGTCCCCTGCCACCAGTGCACGGCCCGGAGTCTGCCCTGATTCTTCCCAGGCTACTGGAATTTGGTCATAAGCAAACATGACCCACTGTGCGGCGGGCTTAACAGCGTTTGCAGGCCATGGCCCGCACCGTTGCTTGCAGGGCCTAGCTCCCAGCATGCTGGCCCTTTTTGTGTGCGGGCCCTCAGCCCCACTGAGAGGAGAGGCCAGAGATGGGCACTGGTGACTCGCCGCGGGGAGCTAAGGACCATGGTAGCCCAGGGTGGGGTCATCTGAGCTGGACCTTGAGGGCTGCTGAAGTGAGGGGTCCCGGCCGGGCACAGTGGCTCACGCCTGTAGTCCCAGCACTTTGAGAGGCCAAGGTGGGAGGATCGCTTGAGGCCAGGAGTTCGAGACCAGCCTGGGCGACAAAGCAAGACCTTGTCTCAACAAAACGTATTTTAAAACTTAGCCAGGTGTGTTGGCACCTGTAGTCCCAGCTACTGGGGAGGCAGAGACACTTGAGACCTCATCGCTGAGCCCAGGAGTTCGAGGCTGCAGTGAGCTATGATCATGCCACTGCACTCCAGCTGGGTGGCAGAGCGAGACCCTGGCTCGAAGGAAAGTGGCAGTTATAGTCGGAACCCGCTGTGCGTACTTGGGAGACAGTCGTGAGTGGTTGGCAGACATGGCGGGAGTTAGAGGAAATTTCTCCCACTGGTGCCAATGCAGGCGGCCTTGGTTTCAGAACAGCCCACTTGGGGGTCGCAGGGGAGCCTGGCGCTGGCAAGCAGACACTTGCCTGTGTGGGCTTGGCGTTCAGCCCAGTCTGAGCTGGGACAGAAGCTTGGGAGTTGTCAGCCTGCAGGTCCCCACCTGCAGCCCTGGGCGTGGCTGAGATCACCTGAGAACAAAGCCACCCTACTCTGGAGTGACTTCTCACCCTGGAGCCTGCAAGCAGCCCATTGAGTCATGTGTCGCTCGTCTCATGGTGACCAGCTTGTGTGCACTGGAGGGGACAGCAGGTCGCTTCACCTTCAGGAGGCCCTGGTGCCACCAGGCAAGGCTGGGAGCATTATTTTGCCTACCTTCCCAAGGGCTCGTTTGGGCTCAGAGGAGGTCAGGCCGCCTAGACAGGCTACACCTGAAAAATCCTCCCACACATCTGGACAAAAATTGGGTTCAGAGTAACTTGTTAGGGCTGGGCATAGTGGCTTAAGCCTGTAATCCCAGCACTCTGGGAGACTGAGGCAGGAGGATCACATGAGCCCAGGAGTTTGAGGCTACAGTGAGCTATGGTCACACCATTGCTCTCCAGCTTGAGTGACAGAGTGAGACCCCAATGCAAACAATAATAATAATAACTTGTTAGATGCGGTGTTTTGAGTTTTTAACTCAGCTGTGTCTGCAGGCTTCTCAAAGTGAGTTTGCTTTCACTGCTCAGGTCCTTGAGCCCTGGGGTTGGCTTTCCTGTCAGATGAGTCGGGACTGCCTGTGTCACCCATTGTGCTCTCTCCCTGCCAACCCGCAGCACGGCCCCCGCCAATCCCACGCCCTGATTATAGGGTGCACAGATGAAAGAGGCACCCACTCTGCCCAGGGGCGCCTGGCCGCTCTGGCTTCGTCTTCCACCTGGCCTGTTACACAGGAGAGCCCCAGGGTCACTCTGTCCCAGTCGATGCGTTTTGCCGGTCCCAGCACTTCAGCCCATGAACTCGTCACATGTTGGTCTCTGTGCCGTGCCTGGCAGGCCCCTTCCTGTCACTGAGTGGTCCTGTTGTGTCAACATACAGTTTGCCCATTCTCATGTTCATGGGAACATCTGGCCTGTCTCCAGTTGGGGGCTTTTTTAAACTGAGGCTGCCATGGCCATCCGTGTGCAAGTGTCTGTGTGGACGTGTGTGTTCACTGCTCCTGGGTCACGCCCAGGAGAGGACAGGCTGGTCGGGAACTGGCTACCTGGCCGTCCCAGGGATGCCTGTGTCACCGCACCGCTCCACCTCGTGTCCCTGCCACTTCCTGACCTTTCCACGCTTTTTTTTCCCTCATCCCTGGTTGTTGAAAGGAAATTCCTTCATGCTTGCCACAAGTGTGGAGTCTGGAGGGTGTTGGACGGCCCTTTGTTGAGGGAAGGAAGTGTTCTTGTAACCCTCCCCTGATAAGAATAGCTATCACGAATAGATAATTTTCTGAAATGCCTTATCTACATCTGTTGTGCTGAGCGAGACTGCTAGGTTTAAAACGACCAACACTAGGACACAGCAACGTTGTCTGAGAGTTTGTATCTTTTAATCTCCTAATGTGGTGAATCTGGGTGATTTGCTTTTCTTTCTCAATATCAAACCAACCTTTCATTTCCAGGATAAACTCAGTGTGGTTCCGATGTGTCGTGCTTTTTAGCCTCACAGAAGGTGGTTTGCTGGTGTTTTTTTGCGGGGTTTTTGCGTGCGTGCATGTGCACATGACTATGACAGGCTTCTAGGGTTCCCACGTGCCTTTCTCATCACATTTCAGACTTCTATCCGAGGTCTGCGGGTAGAGCACGCTGGGATTCTCTCTTCCTTGCATCTCACAGGCCCCGCTCACAGCACTTTCTGTGCCGGGGTCATCTTGGTGGGACGGTTTTTTTTTTTCTTTGAGTAGGAGTCTCACTCTGTCACCCAGGCTGGAGGGCAGTGGCAGGCGATCCTCCCACATCCCAAGTAGCAGGAACCACAGGCGTGAACCACCATGCCCAGCTAATGTTTTTATTTATTGCAGAGACAAAGTCTTGCCAAGTTGCCCAGGCTGGTGACAAACCCTGGGCTCAGCCGGGCTTGGTGGCTCAGCCTGTAATCCCGTGCCTTTGGGAGGCTGAGGTGAGTGGATTGCCTGAGCCCGCGGGTTCAAGACCCGCCTGGGCAGCGAGACCTCATCTCTACAATAAATCAAAAAATCAGCCGGGCGTGGTAGCGCATGCCTGTAATTCCGGCTACTTGGAAGGCTGAGGCGGAAGGATCGCCAGAGCCCACCAGGTCGAGGCTGCGGTGGCCGGAAGCGGCCACTGCACTCCGGTCTGGGCAACCGAGTAAGACTCCAACTCAAAAAAAAAAAAAAAAAAACCCTGGGCTCAGGCAATCCTCTTGCCTTGGCCTCCCAAAAGTGCTGGGATTACAGACATGAGCCATCACACCCAGCCTGTGGGAAGGTTTGTGGCCATTGCCACACTAGTGTCCCTCACTCTGTTTTGGTAGGTTGAATTTTTCTAAAAATTTTTCCATCTCATCCAGGCTGTCAGACATGGAATAAAGTCGTTCACGAGACCCTCTTCTCTGCCTCCGTCTAAAGTTTTGTCCAGTTTTACCCTGTTATTTGTGTCATTTAAAGAGCAGCCAGGCCAGAGGATTGTCTGTTTTTGTCTTTCTCAAACACCATTCTGGCTTCATTAACGTCTTCTTTTGGGCAGCTTTTCATTTTGTTAACTTTCCTTTTAGTTCCTTCTTTATAATTTGGCTTTAAAGTCCCTTTTTCTAACTTCTGGAATCAGGTGCTTAGCTCACTGGTTTCGAGCTACTCTTTTGTCCTGGCATGAGCGTTCAAGGAGATGCATTTATGTCTTCCAGGTCGGGTGGAAGGTTAGTTCGAGCTCAAATCTCAGGGCTCCTCTGGCTGTGCATGGGGGCTGGACACACACTTGTGGCTGAGTGCCCAGATTACCGAGGGTGGGGGACCATCTGGGTCATGTCCCCAACTGCTTCTAGCCACATCTGTTCCCTCTGCCACAGGGCGACCTGGCCAAGAAGAAGATCTACCCCACCATCTGGTAAGCATGCCCCCCTGCCCCCACAGCCTCCCCAGCAGGGCCAGGCCTGGCCCCGCCCACCCCACGCTGGTGACAGCTGCGCGCTGTTCTCAGGTGGCTGTTCCGGGATGGCCTTCTGCCTGAAAACACCTTCGTCGTGGGCTACGCCCGCTCCCGTCTCACGGTGGCCGACATCCGCAAGCAGACGGAGCCCTTCTTCAGAGTGAGTGGCTCCGGGGTCTCCCCTGGCCTGGTTCTGCCCTATCCGCCAGCCCCCTTCCCTTCCTGGGACACTCTTCTCCCCGCCGGCTCCTGCCTCTCCCTTGAGCAGGAGGCGCCCTGGGCATGGAGTAGTGGAGGGGGTCCCTGCAGCCAGAGCCCCCAATGACCCACCCACCTCCCCAACTGGTCCTCGCCAGTTCCCTCCTGCTGTGCTCTGGGGCCAGATCGGGAGGTGCCTGGAGCCAGTAAAAGGACTCCACACTCTCCACCCAGAGAAAGCCGGCAGCTCTGCATTTTCTCAACAAATCCTTGCTGGGCCTAATGAATTCAGAGAGCGCTCTTTCTTCCAGCTCAAAGTGGCCTGCGACCTGGCTTCTGTCCGAGGGCACAAGGTCCTCAGGGACGCGTGGGAGTGACTGCACTGGCCCCTGGCCTGGGGCTGCCGGGCCTCGTCTGCAGGGTCCATGCTGCCTGCCTCCGCCTCCCTGTCTCTGCATGGGCAGAGAGGGGGCTGAGCCCAGTGTAGGGACAGGACAGCTGCCTCCGGAGGAAGCCCACCCTGGCTCTGAGATGAGAGAGCACAAACCACACCCCCTGGGCAGAGCAGGCATGGACTTGAAGTGTGGAGCCAGCATCTGTCCGTCCGTCTCTCCCAGGCCACCCCAGAGGAGAAGCCCAAGCTGGAGGAGTTCTTTGCTCGCAACTCCTACGTGGCTGGCCAGTACGACGATGCAGACTCCTACAAGCGCCTGAACAGCCACATGAACGCCCTGCACCAGGGGCTGCCGGCCAACCGCCTCTTCTACCTGGCCTTGCCCCCCACGGTCTACGAGGCCGTCACCAAGAACATCCACGAGACCTGCATGAGCCAGACGTAAGACTTGCCCTCCGCCCTCCCTCCGCTGGCCCGGGAAGGGTGCTCCCCGAAGAGCAGGTCGAACCAGGCAGTCTGAAAAGCAGGGTGCCCCACTTGCTTTCTACAATCCCGCACTCCAGAAGTCCAGGTCCCTGGCAGCAGTTCCCACTAGGACCACGAGATGGCAGCATTGCTCCACGGAACACTGCCGCTTGCCTGTTTCCTGGTTTTCCCAGTCTCTTCGTCACGGCCACCAGATGGCAGCATCCCTCCATGCAACACTGCTGCTAATTTTTTCTCTGGCTTTCCTGGAGTCTCGGGCAGGACCAGGAGGTGGCAGCATCGCTCCATGCAGAGCATGCTACGGGTTGTCACCGAGCCCTAGTCTCTTGTCCCCACGGCCATGTCCCTCTTGTCCCTAGCTTAGAAAGCGAGACAGCACGCTCACGCTCGGGGATAGCAGGAAAAGGGCCTTTCTCTCACTTTCAAGCAAGGAGATTGGGCCTTCACCATCCCCTTCTCTGCTCCCAGCCCCCTGGGGACCCAGCGTGGACAGGAGGGGAACAGGGCTTCCCTAGTGGCCAGGACGAGCAGATTGGCAGGGACGCTTCCCAGAGGTGCAGAGCTTGATGTTGAGGTCCGAGGACAGAGGGCAGGGGGTCTGGTCGGGTCACCTGGGGATGCAGACAGGGGGAGCCCTACTCCCTAGGAGGGGGCCGTGGGGTGACGAGGCTCCGGCCCGTAAGGCCGAGCTCAAGGGGTGACATGGCTCTGGGCCCCAGCAGAGGCTGGAACCGCATCATCGTGGAGAAGCCCTTCGGGAGGGACCTGCAGAGTTCAGACCGGCTGTCCAATCACATCTCCTCCCTGTTCCGCGAGGACCAGATCTACCGCATCGACCACTACCTGGGCAAGGAGATGGTCCAGAACCTCATGGTGCTGAGGTGGGCGCCAGGGCGGCTGGAGCCGGGCGGGGCAGGCCCAGGGAACCTCAGAGGACGGGTTCCCCCAGGCTGCAGGGGTGCCCACGCCTCCACCTGGCCCTCCCGGCAGATTCGCCAACAGGATCTTCGGCCCTATCTGGAACCGGGACAACATCGCCTGTGTCATCCTCACCTTCAAGGAGCCCTTCGGCACCGAGGGCCGCGGGGGCTACTTCGACGAGTTCGGGATCATCCGGTGAGCGCTGTCTCTCCCGCTCCCGTCCTGGGGGCTCCTCACGTCCTGGGGTGTGTGACCCCTCAGAGGTGGCCGGGAAGGGAGGGCCTCCACAGCCACGCCCCCGGGGCTTGCCCAGGCCAGCAGCAGGGTCCCCATCGCTTCCTTGCCTTAAGGAGACCTGGGGGCCAGCGGGGACCAGGAAGCGAGTCTCCCAGCTGGCCACTGGAAAGCCTGGTGTGGGTTGCTAGGCCCCCGGAACCTGGCCGTACTCTTCCCCTCATCCCAGAAGTGGGCCTGACCAGAACCTCGGTCTTCTCTGCCACCAGGGACGTGATGCAGAACCACCTCCTGCAGATGCTGTGCCTGGTGGCCATGGAGAAGCCCGCCTCCACCGACTCGGATGATGTCCGTGATGAGAAGGTGGGCAGGGCGCACCCTCCTGGTCCCCAGCAGCCCGACCCGGGGCAGTGCCGCGCAAGGGTGTGCACGCGGTGTCCTTGTCACCCACACGGGCCGCCAGCCCTGAGCACAGGAGGTCCTGCGGGAGGTGCCCCGAGCAGGGAGTCGCAAAGCCCAAGCTGTCACGTGCCAGCTCTGACAGTGACCGCCACGTGGCCAAGGGCAGGCCACTGCCTCTCTGGTCCTCAGCTTCTCCGTCAGAAAAGCCAGGCTGGCCAGGCACGGTGGCTCATGCCTGTCATCCCAGCACTTTGGGAGGCAGAGGTGAGGGGATTGCCTGAGCCTAGGGTTTGAGACCAGCCTGGGCAACTCAGTGAGATCTCATCTCTAAAAAGTGTTTGGAAAACCCAGGAGGCTGAGCCGAGGGGGCCCCGGAGGGCCCTCGGGGAGGGACCCATGGCTGTGCCTGCAGCAGGGCAACCAGAGCTCATCGCGCGCTTCGTCCTGTCCTCAAGGCGGCCTTTCTGGCCTTCCTCAGCCGCTGGGAGGCGCCCTTGGGCCCGCCCTCTCCTCTTCCCTGCTCTCTCCCAGGTCAAGGTGCTGAAATGCATCTCAGAGGCACAAGCCGCCAACGTGGTCCTGGGCCAGTACGTGGGGAACCCCAGCGGAGAGGGCGAGGCCACCAGAGGGTACCTGGATGACCCCACAGTGCCCCGTGGGTCCACCACTGCTACCTTTGCAGCTGTGGTTCTCTACGTGGAGAACGAGAGGTGGGACGGTAGGTGGCATCTCCAAGGCCCGGCAAGCACTCACACATCGTCGTGCGCCCTCACTTGTGCCCCTGCTGGCCCTGAGCTGGGCCTGAGGCTGGCCTCTCCCTACCAGGGGTGCCCTTCATCCTGCGCTGTGGCAAAGCCCTGAACGAGCGCAAGGCCGAGGTGCGGCTGCAGTTCCGCGACGTGGCAGGCGACATCTTCCACCAGCAGTGCAAGCGCAACGAGCTGGTGATCCGCGTGCAGCCCAACGAGGCCGTGTACACCAAGATGATGACCAAGAAGCCAGGCATGTTCTTCAACCCCGAGGAGTCAGAGCTGGACCTGACCTATGGCAACAGATACAAGGTGCCCCCAGGCGGGGCCGTGGACGGAGGCGGGGGTGCCCCGCGGCAGAGGTGGGGGTGACATCTTTCTCGCCGCAGAACGTGAAGCTGCCTGACGCCTACGAGCGCCTCATCCTGGATGTCTTCTGCGGGAGCCAGATGCACTTCGTGCGCAGGTGAGCCTCCGCCCAGCCCACGGGCCCCTCCCTCTAGGTCACCCCCTAACTCGCGTGTCCCCCCAGCGACGAGCTCCGCGAGGCCTGGCGGATCTTCACACCGCTGCTGCACAAGATCGAGCGGGAGAAGCCCCGACCCATCCCCTACGTCTACGGCAGGTGAGGGGTGCCCTCGTGTCTCTCCTGCATCGCCCCGTGTCTCCCTGTTATCCCTCACATGTGCCCACGTCTCCCCCTCCCGTCTCCCCCTCCCTCCCGTCTCCCCCTCCCTCCCGTCTCCCCCTCCCTCCCGTCTTTCCCTCCCTCACGTCTTTCCCTCCCTCACGTCTTTCCCCACGCCTCCCTCACGCCTGTCTACCTGTCACCCTCCAGCCGGGGCCCCATGGAGGCAGATGAGCTGATGAAGAGAGTGGGCTTCCAGTACGAGGGCACCTACAAATGGGTGAACCCCCCACAAGCTGTGAGCCCTGAGCGCCTCCCGCACCCCGCCCCCTGCCTCTCCTTCCCGCGCCCGCCCC